AGGAAAACTGGCTTTATTTAACCTGGCGAAGTTCCAATTCGCTATGAATTTTCTCATAAAAGTTATGAGAAAAGGTCCCTTCGGGTAAAGCGGGATTGGAGATTCCCTCCAAAGTCCCCCAAACCTCAACCCAGACCAAAGGTCACACCCCCCCAGATTAGGCTCCAGAACTCCCTTCCTGCACCACATGTGAATGTTGGAAGGCCGCAGTATTGGCCCACACCTCTACCCTTCCCGGAGGATTGTGACTCCAGCATTCATATCTGGTCAAGGGTAAAGAACTTTTGAGCGTCCTTCCCTATCCCTGGGATAGGAACCGCGCATACTCTCTCTCTCAACGCACTTAGGTTGCTGGTTGACTAAGGAAGTGAATGCCACCACTCAAGCGATTGAGGGCCTGCTGGAGGACACCCAAAAGCTTAAAGAGGTTAGCTTGCAAAATCGAGCAGCCATTGATTTCCTTCTTCTGGCACACGGCCACGGTAGACCTGCCGCGCCTCACCGGCAGCATCCTGCACACCAAATTCTGGCTCGTGGACGGTCAGCACCTCTACGTGGGCAGTGCCAACATGGACTGGAGGTCCCTCACCCAGGTGGGTGGGGCTGGATGGGGTGGGGAACCCAACAGAGGGTGCTGAACCCAATGGGGTGACCCCAAACCCAACAGCTTGGCCCCAAACCCAACGGGGTTGCCCCAAACTCAACGGAGTGACCCCAAACCCACCACAGGTAAAGGAGGTCAGTGCCACTGTCTACAACTGCAGATGCCTGGCCCAAGACTTGGCCAAGATCTTTGAGGCCTACTGGGCCCTGGGTGTGCCGGGGGCCTCCATCCCATCCCCGTGGCCAGAGAATTTCTCCACCTCCTTCAACCTGAAGATGCCGCTGGTGCTGACACTCAGTGGCACCGACACCGCTGTCTACTTCTCCGTACACACCCCACCTGCTGGGGATGGGGGGTCACGTTGGGTCCTGTTGGGTCACGTTGGGTCATCCCCCCATCCTGGGCGCCCCCGGCAGAGCTCCCCTCCCCCGCTGTGTGCTGAGGGCCGCACTGCCGACCTGGACGCACTGCTGGACGTCATCAACGGCGCCGCTGCCTTCGTGGATGTGGCGGTGATGACTTACCTGCCCGGCACCGAGTTCTCACGGCCCGAGCGCTTCTGGCCACCTATCGACAAACAGCTGCACCGGGCCATGGTGGAGAGGGGCGTGGCTGTGCGGCTGCTGGTGGGGTGCTGGGAGCACAGCAACCACCAAATGTTCCCCTTCCTGCACTCCCTCGCCGCCCTCGCCAACGGCGGCACCGGCTTCGACGTGCAGGTGGTGGGTGACAACGGGAGGGGGGACACGGTGACCAAGGTGGGGGGATGACTGGCCTTGGGGGTGACAGTGACGTTGGGGGGGTGACAGTGGCCTTGGGGGGTGATGGTGCCATTGGGGGGGGTGACAGTGACAGTGAGGGGGTGACGGGGGTGACAGTGACGTTGGGGGGGTGACAGTGGCCTTGGGGGGTGATGGTGCCATTGGGGGGGGTGACAGTGACAGTGAGGGGGTGACGGTGACCTTGGGGGGATGACAGTGCCATTGGAGGGGTGACAAGTGGCCTTTGAGGGGTGATGGTGATGTTGAGGTGGTGACAGTGTCCTTGTGGGGTGACAAGTGGCTCTGGTGGGGGTGACAGTGCCATTGAGGGGGTAACAAGTGGCCTCGAGGGGTGATAGTGCCCTGGGGGGTGTGGCAGACCCCTGGGGGGGTGACGGCCCCTTGGGGGGGGTGATGGTCTCCTGTTGCCCCCCAAGAGGCTGTTCCTTGGTGCCGAGGACCCCCGTCATTTCCCGGATCCCCTTCGCGCGCGGGCATTGAACCGCAAAAGTACATGCTGACAGACAAGGCGGCCTACGTGGGTCAGGTGATGGGGGTCGGGGGGTCTGGGGTTCTCAGGGCGTTACTGGGGGGCTCTGGGAGGGGAGTTTGGGGGTTCCCTCCCTTCTTTCCCTCCCTTACAATCACAAAAACTTCCACCCTGATGATACCCCTAAAACCCTCCTTGGTCTCCGCAAGCCTGGACCCCCCAAACCCCTCCCAGGACCCCTAAAACCCATCCCTAGTCCCCTAAAACCCATCCCAGCCCCTCCAACCCTGTCCCTGGACCCCTCAAACCCCTCCCCGTTCCCCTTAAACCCCTCCCTGACCCCCCTCGCCTCATTCCAGCACCCTGAAACCCCTTTTAGGCTCCCCCCAACCACTCCCTGGACCCCCCAAACCCCTCCCTGGACCCCTTTAAACCCATCCCAAGTCCCCTAATACCTATCCCAGCCCCTCCAACCCCATCCCTGGACCCCCCAAACCCCTCCCTGAGTCCCCCAGACTCATTTCTAGATCCCCAAACCTCTCCCTGAACCCCTCGAACCCCTTCCCTGACCCCCCCGGTGCCCCCCAGGCACATCCAACTGGTCGGGGGACTACTTTGAGTGCACAGGGGGCTTGGGATTGGTCATGGCCCAGCCTGGAGGTGGCTCTGGAACGTTCCGGGAGAAGCTCCGTGCCCTTTTCCAGCGGGACTGGGTGTCCCAGTACAGTGTCGACATCAGAGACCCCCAGCGCTGGGGGAGCCGCTGCGGCACAGAGTGACCCCCAGGGCCCTCCCCCAAGGGGGGCTGAAGCGGCTGCTCCCCGAGAATTTGGGGGGAAAACCGGGAAAAATGGGATTTTGTGTATTCTGTGGTGCCCATGTCGTCACTGGAGACTCAAAGCTCGGCCCAGACCCCCCCAAAATATAATAATAATAAATAATAAACCCCCTTTTTGGTTTAGTTTCTGTCTGTACTATTTTACCATGTCTGATTCTATGTTTGCGCAAGTTGCTGCTGAGCTCCATCGAGGCAAACATCGCCCGCGTTTCAGAAAACAAAGAAGGGGGAGATGTTGGAGAACATAAAGCTGAGTGGGAACAATTTCAAGCATGGTGCAGAATTTACAACCCAGAATGAGCCATTCTACACCTGAATGGCCCTTCCCTCCAGGAAAGAAACCCCTTACCCTCAGTCTCTTCTCCTGTTCCTTAAAACACAACCTGCAGGGGAGCTTTCTGGGATCTCTTCTCTTGGGAATTGGGAAGACAGACCCACTCCCATGTTTAACACCTCAGGCAAAAACACCCTTTTAACACCTTTCCCAACTCTCCCCAACCTTTCCCAAAGCCCAGATTTTACAGGTGTCCTGTAATTCTGGCCCAATCTCACCCAAGCCCACAAACCATGACAGAAGCCTCTCAGCCTCACGCTGCCTCCTTCCCATTGCTGTGCCTTATGTGCAGGCAAAAGACCTTAAAATCAAGTACCCAAAATTTATGGCCTGTTCTTTTTCCCACAAAAGAAGGCGTGGTGAACTCTCCAGACCAGGGAATTAGAAGATCTCCTAAAACTCCTTTGGTACACACTGCAGGGCCAATGATTCCTCTGCTCTGCCCTGTCGGCGCTGCTTTCTCTCATGGTGCTGCTGTGAGCCCGAAGCCAGCAAGGCCTTGGGCCCACACGGTGTCAGGGGAGGGCTGAGAGCCCCCAGGGAGGAGGAAAGCTGGGCAGGCCCCAAGGCTCCTGGGCCTCTTCCTTGGCAGCCCTTTGGCCAAGGCCCCCAGGCAGAGGTGGGGCTCAGCCCCTGCCCAGCAATGGGGCACAGGTTGAGCCCCAGGGACACCAGACCCAGGCGGCCTGAGCTCTTCTTCCTGCAGCGTCTGCCTGGGGCAGCCCAGCCAGGCCTGAGTCTCTGCAGGAGAGGCCAAGCCCAGCCAGAGAGGGCTCAGCCCTCTGAGGCTGCACTCACTGCAAAGGGAACAAAACATTGGCCCAGAGGACATCCTGCCCCAAATGGAGAACTGGAAAGGTCAAGAAAAAAGAAGTGACCTCCCTCCATTGTTCAAGAAATGTTTAGACCTCTTTCCTAAAAGCATCCAGGACTCAGGTCACCCAGTTTTCTCTCTGACAAGGCTTTGCAGGGGCTGCTTGGGAAAGGGAAGCCCTGGGGCCCCAGTGCAGATGGTGGGGCTGCACTCTGGGGGGGTCGGCCTTTGGCTCTTGGCTTCCAGGGGCCCCCAGGAGTCAGTGAGCCGGGCTGGGGACGAGGGGCAGGACTGGCTGGGATTGCCTCTGGGGCCTGGCCCAGAAAATGGAAGTGTCCCCATGGGGGCAGCTGGAAAGGGCCCAGGAAGGAAATGCTGCCCCAGCGCAGGCTGTGGCAGTGGGGAGTGTGCAGGGGGAGGAGGCTGGGCCAGAGCAGGGCTGGGCAAGAAGGGCCAAGCCGCGGGTGGGTTCTCCCCCGGCCCCCAGGGCCCAGCCCCTGATGGGAGGGCCTTGGGCAGGGCCTGGGGCGACTGCAGGAACCTCCGAGGCAGCCCAAGGGCCGTGCTTTTGGCAGCTGGGTTGACAGGCCCAGCTCTCTGCAAGAGAAGTTGAGGGCTCTGAGCCAGAGAGGGGATGAGAGCCGGGTCCAGGCTTGGGAATGGCCGGGAGGGGAAAGGGATGTCTAAGAACAAGTCCTTCAGGAGAGGGAAGCAGAGAGGCTGTGTTTTGACCCCAGCACAAGGGTCTGCAGGGCAGAGCAGAGAATATCCCCCACGTGAGATTGTTCTGCATCCCTCCTTGCAGTTGTGACAGGCACTTCTCTTCAAAGGTCGTTCTGGGAGCGTCTTCTTGTTCTTTCCAGGTGGGATGCAAGCGGTGGGGGGGCCTTTGGCACCGGAGGGACGATGAGCAAGTTGAGCATTTTCCTGCCAGTCTGAATCAGATGTTAATTCTGGTGGGCTGTATCTTTGGTGAATCTAAGCACATCCCTTGGCATTTGTTTTTTTTTCCGGGTGGTTCGCAACCTGAGAAGCATCAGCAGAGTGGGAAGGAGGTCCCTGCAGTCAGAGGTCAGTGTAAAGGAAGCTGAGAGGGGAGCTTTGGTGAGAATGTTGCCCTCTGAGGGGATCCGTCAGTGTGTGCCTTCCCTGGGGGATTTCTTTGCAGTGGCCGTGCCTATTGCCAGGGGAGCAGAGCCACAGGCCCAGGAGCCGAGCGACAAGGTCAGGTGCTCTTGTGCTGGCCTGGTGGGCAAGGGCAGGGGATTGCAGGGCTCAGCAATGAAGCATTTCCCTCTTCTCTTTGGAGGGAATGTTGCACTCTGAGGGCATCCAGCAGTTTGTGCCTTTGCCTCTGTGATGCTGAAAAACCCAGTCCGAAGAACTGCTCAGAGACTTTGGATCTTTGAGCAGCAAAGGGATTTATTGCCGACGTCAGCAGCGAGCGTGGTTCGCACCACAGAGAACTTGGTCGAGAGTTTCACACAATATCGGGGTTGTATACAATTTTCATATATGATTAAATATGATAAATCATATTCATCTGATCACAACATCTGTCTATGCATATTAATAACGGGCGGGGCTCAGGTGGAGCTCAGGCGGAGCTTCTCTTGGCCCTCAGTTCTGGGAGGGGTTTAGGTGAGTCTGGGGTCTCTGCTCCTCTCCATCAGTCCCCAGTGTCCCCATCCTGGTCCCTCATGTTCCCACTCCATTCCTGGTGTTCCCATTCCCGGTGTTCCCATTCCCAGTGTTCCCATCCCATTCCTGATGTCCCCATTCCCAGTCCCTGGTGTCTCCAACCTGCTGCTGATGTCCCCGTTCCCTTTCCTGGTGTTGCCATCCCAGTTGCTGCTGTCCCCAGGCTGCTCCCAGTGTCCCCAGCGTGGTCCTCCAGGTCCCCATTCCCATTCCTGGTGTCCCCATTCCCATTCCTGGTGTCCCCATTCCCATTCCTAGAGTTCCCAACCCAGTTCTGTTTTCCCCATTCCCATTCCTGGTGTCCCCATTCCCATTCCTGATGTTCCCATCCCAGCTCTGTTTTCCGCATTCCCATTTCCGTGTGTCCCCATTCCCAGTTCCTGCTGTCCCCAACCTTCTCCCAATGTCTCCATTGCTATTCCTGGTGTCTCCATCCCATTCCTGATGACCCCAGCCTGTTCCAGTGTCCCCAACCTTCTCCTGGTCATCCCATCCTGCTCCTGGTGTCCCCATTCCCCATTGTCTCCTGGTGTTCCCATTTCCATTCCTGATGTCTGCAACCTACTCCCAGTGTCCCCATCCCTGTCCCCAATGTCCCCATCCCAGTCCCAATGTCCCCATTCCAAATCCTGGTGGCCCCAGCCTGTCCCCAGTGTACCCATCCCTGTCCTCATTGTCTCCATTCCCATTCCTGGTTCCCACAGAGGAACTGCCGGATGCCGGAGGAGAGAGCCAGGATTTCTTGCCCAAAGCAGGAGATTTTCACACCCAAATTAAAGCCTCAGGAATAATTGTGGTCCTGGGTTTCACACAGGAAAAAGCAGGAAGTTGATCCATGGGGAAGAGCCGCAGGGGGGCCGGGGTGGGTGGGAGCAGCGGGATGAGCTTTGCCAGCAGCTCCTGCCTTTCTGCAGGGAGAGGGAAGGGGCGGATCCAGCTCCAGGATCGCTCAGGCCGTGATTCCTGCCGGGATGAGAGTGGGGAAAGGAGTCACCATGTCCCTGTTCCCATCCCATGGGATGGAGCTGGTTGTGGAGCCCAGGGAGAGCAGGAACTGCTCCGGAATCCCACCTGATCCTGCTCTGTCCATCCCACCCCAATCCCACTCCATCCATCCCACGCCAATCCCAGTCCAGAATCCAGCCCTGATCCCAGTCCACAATTCCACCTGATCCCACTCTGGAATCCTGCCCTGAGCTGGAATCCCCTTCCAATCCCACTCCAGCCATTAGGCCCCCATTCCCCTCTGGAATCCCGGCATCCATCCTGGGATCCCTGCACAGAGGATCTGGATCCACACACGCTGCTGGGACTCACTGGTGGGCGCGGGGTCGTATCCATTCCCCTCCCTCTTCCCTATGGAAAGAAAGTGGGATCAGCACCCGTGGCACAGGATCCCCGGAATGCTGCCGGGCGGATCCGTGCCCCTTGCCGACCCCCATCCCGGGAGTTACCGGATCGGAGCTTCCAGACACCGACTGCCACGAGGCCGATGATGATGATGATGGCAGCGATGACGGACACAGTGTCCTAGTTAGAACAGCTGGGACCGATTCCTCACTGGATGGGTGTAGCCCAAAAGTGTGTATTCTATGGCCTTCCATGCCATTTTCCCAGGAACTGTTGTCGGGGGAGGGGGCCTGCGAGGTGGGGGGGTGTCCCTGTCCTCATACCCTTTTATGGAATTCCCTGCTCTGAGAATCCTCATATCCTTTTATGGAATTCCCCACTCTGAGGGAAGAACTAAGCATCCTTTTATGGAATTCCCCGCTCTGAGGGAACGACTGACCATTCCTGCCTGAACTGGAGAATATATAAACCTGGAGTTTC